ATGTATGTGTGCCCCTGCCAGAGGGTTCAGTGCCAGTGTTGGGGGCTGTTGGGGTGCTCTGAGCCTGAGACAGGGCTCTGATCTAGCCCTGTCTTCTGGTCGTCCCTCAGCTGGAGAGCAAACGGGACGCCTTCTCACCGGTGTTGCTGCAGTTCTGTACAGACCCTCGAAATCCCATCACCGTGATCCGGGGCCTGGCAGGTTCCCTGCGGCTCAGTGAGTGTGGGGGACAGAAAAGTGGGGGAGGGATGCAAGGATTTGGGGCTTTGGGACTCTGAGAGCCCCCACTCTTGAAGATCCAGGATAGTGGCTATAGTGAGCTTTCCTTAGTCATAGGGAGGCTATATTTGAAGGATGCTCTGAGTGATGGGTGAGCTGGCCTCAGGCTTTTCTCGAATCTGTATTTCCAACAATAGGCAAGTGGGAAAGGGATCTATCTCAGGGCCTGGTTAGTCACTTTTAGTTTTCTTGGTGATTAAGGATGAGAAGAATAGATTATAGAGTACCCCTGAAGATCCATGATTTGAGGCTTCTCTTTTTCAACCTTTATTGTGCAAAATTTCAAACACATACAAGTAGAGGGAACCATATAAAAATAGAGAAATCAATCTTGTTTACTCTATACCAGTGGTTCTCAACCTCCTGGCCCTTTAAATATAGTTCCTCATGTTGTGACCCAACCATAAAATTATTTTCGTTGCTACTTCATAACCGTAATGTTGCTACTGTTATGAATCGTAATGTAAATATCTGATATGCAGGATGGTCTTAGGTGACCCCTGTGAAAGGGTCGTTGACCGCCAAAGGGGTTGCGGCCCACAGGTTGAGAACCGCTGCTCTATACCCATATATTTTCCTTCTGCTGAGTTACTCAAAGCACACTCTAGGCTTTCACTTGACTTAAGTCTTTCATTGCATCTAATGATAGCTTAAAGAATCTGTCACTCATTAAGCACCTACTATATGCCAAGTGCTGTGCCCCTGTGGCCTCGTGCATACCTGAGGACTGGTGGAGGAACTGAAGCTCAGAGCAGCAGTGGGAGAGGAGGTTGATGAGGGATGGCCAACCTTCCCAGCTTCCTGTGGGGCGGGGGTTCTGCCTGTTCCCTGGCTTTACCTCTGTGCAGCCAATGTCCAGCCTGTCAGAGGCTTGCGGAGTAAGAAGGGACAGAGTGAGTTGGGTCCTCGATCCCTCCCTTCTGCCTCTTCCCCGACACCCTGCTCCTTCCCGTGCAGACTTGGGCCTCTTCTCCACCAAGACCCTGGTGGAGGCGAGTGGTGAGCACACCGTGGAGGTGCGCACCCAGGTGCAGCAGCCCTCAGATGAGAACTGGGATCTGACGGGCACTCGACAGATCTGGCCCTGTGAGAGTTCCCGTTCCCATACCACCATTGCCAAGTATGCACAGTACCAGGCCTCATCATTTCAGGAGTCCTTACAGGTGAGAGGCAAGCATAGGGAGGCAGGGATGCGGATCAGGGGACTTGGAGTGGGGCTGCTGAGGGAGGGCTCCTGGAAGGTGCTGACTCAGCCTATGGCCAAGCAGGAGGAGAAGGAGAGTGAGGATGAGGAGTCCGAGGAGCCAGACAGCACCACCGGAACGCCTCCTAGGTACCGTACAGTATGCCCGTTCCTTGGTGACCTTTACTCCCTTCCCTATGCTTCGCCACCAATGTGTGCCCTTCACCCCACAGCAGCACACCAGATCCGAAGAACCATCACATTATCAAGTTTGGCACCAACATCGACCTGTCTGATGCCAAGCGGTCAGTGGGGTTGAGGCCAGCAAAGCGGGGGCAGGATTGCTGATGGGTCTGCAGGGCGGGGATAGCCTCTCACTTTCATCGACTCCCTCGCCGCCGCAGGTGGAAGCCACAACTGCAGGAGCTGCTGAAGCTGCCCGCCTTCATGCGGGTCACATCTACCGGCAACATGCTGAGCCACGTGGGCCACACGATTCTGGGCATGAACACGGTACAGCTGTACATGAAGGTCCCCGGCAGCCGAACGCCAGGTGCGGAATGCGCGCTGGGGGCGGGGCTGGTGTCGGGGCTGCTTTCAGCCAATGAGGGCCAAAGGGTGGCCTTGGGAAGGAGCGCAGCTCGGCTCGGCCAGCCACGGCGTTCTCTATTGCCCCCTGCAGGCCACCAAGAGAACAACAACTTCTGCTCTGTCAACATCAACATAGGCCCAGGCGACTGTGAGTGGTTCGCGGTGCATGAACACTACTGGGAGACCATCAGCGCTTTCTGCGACCGGTGCGCGCCCCCCCCCCACCCCAAACGCACACACTAGGCCCACCCCCATGTCCCATCTCCGAGTCCCCAGGTTTCCATCTGACCCTGTGGCCACCCCACAGGCACGGTGTGGACTACCTGACAGGTTCCTGGTGGCCAATCCTGGACGATCTCTATGCTTCCAATATCCCCGTGTACCGCTTCGTGCAGCGCCCTGGAGACCTCGTGTGGATTAACGCGGGGACCGTGCACTGGGTGCAGGCCACTGGCTGGTGCAACAACATCGCCTGGAACGTTGGGCCCCTCACCGGTGAGAGGGTGGGGTGCAGAGACACTCAGCGGTGAGGGGGTTGGAGCCTCGTGGCGGGGGAGAGGAGGGCAGCCAGCTGTGAGGGAAGGGGCTGGGAGTTGTTTGAGAATCCTGTAGTGACTGCTTCTGGCCCACAGCCTATCAATACCAGCTGGCCCTGGAACGATATGAGTGGAACGAGGTGAAGAACGTCAAATCCATTGTGCCCATGATTCACGTGTCCTGGAACGTGGCTCGCACCGTCAAAATCAGCGACCCTGATTTGTTCAAGATGATCAAGTGAGGGTCCTACTTGAGAGGGAGCCCATTTCCACCAGACCTGGTCCCGCTCTTGTTCTGCCTTAGAATGCAACCCCACTCCCCGTCTCTCTCTCCACTCTTTACTCATGGCCCTGCGGTGTTACAGTGCTGGGGCAGGTGACACGGTTCCTGCTCCACGGAATTTTACTTGACAGTGGCCCAAACATAAAAACGCACATGAAATGTTAACGGGGCCTAGTAAATGAGGGCCACGGTCCGCCTTGCTAGCAGCCCTACCTTACGCCACTCGCCCTCCCCCCACGCCCAGGTTCTGCCTCCTGCAGTCCATGAAGCACTGCCAGGTGCAGCGGGAGAGCCTCGTGCGGGCAGGGAAGAAGATCGCCTACCAGGGCCGGGTTAAGGACGAGCCTGCTTACTACTGCAACGAATGCGACGTGAGTGGGCCGCTTCCCTCCTTCCCGGGAGAAAGGAGCCCCCAGGGCGTTCCTCCCGTGACTGC